GGCAGGAGAGGGGCTCCTCGCTGAGCTCTCGCTGCACCCCAAAGCTACGGTGCAGACGGCGCTGAGCCCAGTTACGCCCCGGCCACACCGCAGAGCTGCGGTCACGCTAGAGCGGGCTCTGGCGGGTTCTAGGTGCTGCCCCCGCCGGCGCTGCTGGCCATCGGGGTCTTGGAAGGGAAGGCCCCCTGGACGGGCGGCACGTCCTCCCCCCGCGGGCCGAGGGGCGCCTCACCAGCAGGCCGGCGGCCCCCAAAGATGATGCCCTCGATGGGCACACCCTCCGGGGACTCCCAGGCGGGGTCGATGATGGGGCACTGGCGGGCAGGCGTGCAGAACCTCGAGTTGGGGTGGGCGCACGGTTCCCCTGCAACGAGAGCGGTGGCCCCTGAGCGTCCGGCCCTCGCGGGGGCCGTGCGGGCGGGGCGGGCCCGGGGCCTCACCGTCCTCGGCGCACCACTCCTTGTTCTTCCAGGAGGTGACCGTGACGCCGGAGGCCAGCGGCTGGTCGATGCCTTCCCAGTAGACGCCCCCGTCGCTGGTCTCGGCGACGTTGGTGAAGATGGTGTTCTTCTGGATGGTTCTGATGGCGTTGGGGTTTGTCTTCACAGAGGTGCCGGGGGCGACGCCGAAGAACCCGTTTTCTGGGTTGATGGCCCGTAAGTTACCTGCAAAGGTGCACAGCGGACGCGTGGGGGGGGGGGCGGGCCACGGCGCGCCACGCCCCGCGCCTCACCCCGCCCGGAGCTGCTTCTTTCTTCATGCGAGTACGCGGCTCCCGACTGTACGAGCCGCCCTCACCCGCTTCCCGTCAATATTATTTCAACAGATTTATGAGGCAAACACCAGCGACCTTTGGCTTCGTGGCGACGCAGACGCCCGATAAATCAGACTTACAGAACAAAGTTTCCACGGCCCTGCGAGCTCTGAAATAACTGATTGCGAAATGCAGACCTGGCCCCAGGGGCTCGGCAGTGGCGGCGCGGACGTCCACTCTGCCCCGTCGCCCGTCCGCAGCGGCCCGAGCCTCACCTTGCTGGTCGAACTTCATCCAGGCGATGTCGTCGCCCACGCACTCCACCTTCCAGCCGGGCAGCGTGGGGTTCATCATGGCCAGGTTGGTCTTCCCGCAGGCGCTGGGGAACGCGGCCGCCAGGTACTTCTTGCGGCCCTGAGGGTTGGTGATCCCCAGGATCTGCGGAGACAAGCTCGCCCTCAGGCCTCCTGCTCCCTTCAGCCCCTGGGCCCCGGACTTGAGTCCGGGGTGTGCCGAGAAGCCCCCCGGCCGCAGTGACCAAGCCGTCTCTCTCCAAGTACGGACGGGACGATTTTGACAAAGGCAGTGGCCAGGCCCGAGGGCCCGTCGAGCCCCTGAGGGGCGACCCCCGCGTGCGGCTGCCCACAGGCCTCCCCGTGCCCTGGGGGCATGGGGGCCGGAGCGCCCCGGCTCTCACCAGCATGTGCTCGGCCAGCCACCCCTCCTCCTGGGCCAGCCGGCCGGCCATGCGCAACGCGAAGCACTTCTTCCCCAGGAGCGAGTTCCCGCCGTAGCCGCTGCCGAAGGAGATGACTTCTCTGCGGTCGGGCAGGTGGGCGATGAGGGTCAGCTCCGGATTGCAGGCCCAGTTGTTAACCAAAGGCTCTGGACAGGAGGGGACATGTCCACGTGAGGCCTCGTGTCCACCGGAGGCCGCGTGGCCGCGCTGGCTTCGGGAGGGTCACGCTTACTTTTCAAAGGCAGCGGGCAGCCCACGGAGTGGAGACACTTGACGAAGTCCCCGCTGCCCAGGGCTTCCAGGGCGGGCGTGCCCATCCGGGTCATGATGCGCATGCTGGCCACCACGTAGGGCGAGTCGGTCAGCTCGACGCCGATCTTGGACAGCGGGGAGCCCAGCGGCCCCATGCTGAACGGGATGACGTACATGGTGCGGCCTGTGGGTGACGCAGGGCTGGTGAGAGGCCGGCCCCGTCACGCCCGCCCGCCCCGGCCCGCGTGGGGCGCGCCCAGGGAGGTGACCCCAGGCCGCGTCCGGCTGGGACTCTGCTGACACGCCGCCCGACACAGTCCGCAGCAGTGGAGCCAAGGTGCGCGCCTCTCTCTCCTGCTCGCCGGTGTCGCCGCGGCTCGACAGGCCGTCGGGGCCCGCGACGTCCCACCAGAGCGGGTCTCACCTTTCATGCAGCCCGGAAACCGGGCGTCGAAGGCTTTCTCGAAGTCGGCCTCCGACATCCAGCAGCCCAGCTGGCTGGGGCCGGCCCTGGGGATGGGGACCGTGTCCCTCTGCTCTTTGGTCACGATGACTGTCTTGCTTTCAACTCTGGCCACGTCCCTGGGGTCGGTGAGCGCCAACCAGCTGTCAAAATCAGAGCACACAGCTTGGGGGCGGAGGGCCGTGCCCGGGTCTGCAGAGGGGCCCAGGCCGCCCCGGCCACGCTCCCGGGTCTCCGAGGACGCTGGCGCTGCTGCCCCGGCCTCCCAGCCGGCTCTCGGCGGCCCCGGGCGGCGCTCGCTTACCAGTTGTCGTATTTCCTCAGCCTCCTCACGGCGCCCTGCTCCTCCATCTGCCCCAGCAGCTGCTGGTTCTCCCGCTCGGAGCCGTCACAGATGTGGATGCGGTCGGGCTGGCAGACCCTGGCGCTGCGCTCGACGAACTCCCTCACCGCCTGCGGCAGGCGGTCCAGCTTGCCCTGCACGACCTTGGCCGAGACGTCGGCGTTGTTGGGGACCTGAGGAGCCATGTCGGCGGGATCGTGCGAAGGGGCGCAGGTGCTGAGCTTCCCTGAAACACAGCACGGGACCCATGAGCGCCGCCCGGCACGGGCCCCCCCGAGGCAGGCTGGCTCTCGGGCGGGGGCCCGCCGACTCTGCGGGGTCCAGAAACGGACGTCTGAAAGCTCTACGTACCTCTCCTGGGCTGATCTCTACCTCGGGCTCTCCCCACTGGGCCACGGAAGCTCCGGCTTTAAGCCCGCCGAGGAGAAAGGCCCGCCCCCCCGGCGGCCGGGAGGCTCGCCTCTGACGTCAGGGCAGGCCTCTGGACCACGGCCACGGTCAGTTTCGCTCTGGACCGACTCGCCACAATAAACTGCAGAGAGATAATCATTGAACAGATAGCTGTTAATGAGTGCCGGGCCCCGGCCCTCGCCAGCCAGGCGAGCCTTGCACAACTTCTGATTGACTAAACTTTGACCCAGCTCATTGCTGATGCAAAACACGGCCCCCCGTTGACAGCCAGGTGGGAGCACGGCTGCGGGGCACCCCGGCGTGCAGGCTGCTGGCAGCACACCGTGTGTGCCGAGGCCTGGGGCTGCCAAGGCCGCCGTGGCCGGGAGCCACCTCACAGGCCCCCGGGAAGAAGCGCCGGACGCAGCAAGCCTGTGGCTCTGGCTGGGGCCAGCCCGCGGGAGCTGCTGCCCACGGAGGGTGCGCACTGCCCCCGCCCACGTGTGAGCCAGACGGCAGCGAGGGGAGCCTGTTTCGCTCACTTCCGTGCCTCAGAGCAGCACCCACAGTGGCCAAGCGCCGCTCAGCTCCCCCGTTTCTCCTCTCCAAGGGGGAGTCCAGGCAAGGACACCGAAGCCCCGGGGGGCCAGCCCGCCCCTCCAGCCCCCTGGCCGGCGGGGGACGGGAAGATCAGGCCAGGGCCCAGCGGGCGGCCACCCCAGACCGCCCCTGGGGCAGCCACTGCCGCTTCCTGAACTTTCCACAAATTCTCCCAGTGCCTCTGGGCCGCGCGGCCACCCCGGGCCCATGGCCTCCCTCGGGTGTCCTTGCAAGTCTGGGGGTCTGGGGAGCCGAGGGGGCTTGGCAGCTTTGCTAGATTACATGGGAGTCACGAGCCTCTGAACAGCTGCAGAGGAATCAGCCGAGAGCCAGCACTGCAGCC